AAGATGACATTTTAAGATGTTTTCAAGGAATTGTTTTTTAATACCACATTTAGTTAATACTCTTCTGCTCAGCAGTTTGGGGTCTTTTAGAAAAGAAAAGCACAAAATTAATTGATGTAAAATTCTGTATACTCCAATTAATGAATCATTAATAATGAACTATTAGCATAATATCTTGATATGTTTTAATAAAGTTTGACTCGAACTGCTGCTAAATGTAAAGAACCTCAAAACTGTAAAACCCCAAATCTAAAAAAGTTGTTTTTGCAGTGCAGTAAAAATCACATAAGGGTAACTTGAAAAGTGTTTACTCTGATTACACAAACAGTATGCAGAAGTAGATGATGGACAATAGGTACTGATTTGTAAATGACTGTATATTTCTAACTAACTAGGGAGCTCATTCTGTTTCTCTTGACAATACTTCCTTGAAAAAAGGCAGATGCGAAATGTAAATGTGAGGTCAGAGGTCAAATGTGACATCATGTTTTAAACTTTTATATGGTATTTTCTATTATGTTGACAATCTACATCACACTTGGTTACAAGGATTTTTGTCAATTTTCAACCAATAAACCTTGACCTTGAAGACCTTGGTGGATGTCAGCCAAATTCTAACCATAGTAGGAGCACTGGTTAAAATCCAGTGTCTCAGATGGTGCATCAGTATCTGTGAAAGGTACATGCAGGTCTTAGACCAACGTAACATCCCATCCACATGATTTAAGGGAAGGTGCTGCATCAGGACAGTTATTTACTGATGCAAATCTCACATAACAGCACAGCCTCTTATTACTGCCTTCAAATTCAAAAGGAGCTAATACTTTTCTTAAAATGTTCCATTCACTCAGTTCAAACACTTGACATGTTTTCCATGTTATATTGTGAGTAAAATACATGTTTATGAATCGTCGTAAATTCTGTTTTATTTACATTTTACACAGTTCACCAACTTTTTTGGAATCGGGGTTGTTCAGTCGTTGGAAAAGCAGTGGAAACAATGAGCTGATCTTTGTAAGAATAATATGTGTTTTTCCGCAGCCTGGGACTGTGACAAATAAAGGGATACAATATGATGTGGTAACTAAAATGTCAGAATTTATTAACAAAGAAAAAAATGAACAGAACGTGTATTCATCCACCAGTCTGTAAAGTGACGATGTAGATCAGGAGTCTCAAACTTAAACGAGCTGTGGGCCACTGTTGGCACCGTCATCTGGAGGGCCACTTTATTGTTCAAGTAGTACAAACAAACAAATAGGACAACACCCACAAATATTTTAAAAATGTAGTGTTGTTTTTTTTTAAATTTCAAATATTGTATAACAAGACAAAAAATGGAATTCATTAAACTACCAAATAAACAAATTGGTACCCTCTTTCTGGCAGCACTTCTGCTATAATTTTGTTCGTGTTTAACAAAATAAAAATGCAGACATAAGCGTTCACATTAGTTTTTGACTGCTAGTGAAGATTGTTTTCTTTACAAAAACTCTCTCACTGAACTAACACAGCCAATCCCTCAGCATATATGTACTCTCTGCTCATATTGCCTTCATATCAATTAATTATTTGCTTTTTAAATAACTTATTTTAAAATTGCAACAACAAACAAATCCTCTCCAACAAAAAAAAGCAACTTCAAGGGCCAACTGCACTATTCTTCACGTCAGTATATGGGCCACAGCAAAAACAAAACAATTATTCAGTTATTATTATCAATATAATTATTTATCTTAGTATTAACAAAATAATTTATCATCTTTAATGAACCCTCCTGTTGTCCTGTCCTGTCGTACAGCTACGTAAAAGGCAGTGCTGTTATGTAAGATGTGCATCAGTAAACACATGTTGCATGTTTGCTGATGTAATTTCGTCACGCTTGGGCAAAATATAGTCTGTGGGCCAGACAGGCCTGCAGGCCTATCCACGTATATCCAAAAGCGAAAATGAAAATATCCTCAAACATCTACAAAAGCAGGTTTATGACAATTGAATTACATTTAGACAGAAAGTGAATGAGACAGGTGAAAGGATGCCAGGATACATAACAACAGTACAGCATGGTAAAAAGAAAGCACACCCTCTTTTAGTTCTACACTTTTATTTGTCAGGACATAATAAAAAATTAAGTGATCCAGGTTTTAAAATTAGTTAAATAAATCCTCAGATGAACAACACATAACCTATTGCACCATCACACTGCATGATTCAGTAGTTTTTAGAACCACCTTTAGGAGGAATAACTTGAAGTAAGTATTTTCATGCATGGCAAGTACACGAAAAAAATGCTGGGAAATGTTCAGGAACACAGGATAAACTGGACTTGTGAGTGTTTACAAAAACTGTGGGAGCTAATTATGAAGCAAAGAGTTTATTAACTGTTTATAAAACTTTAAAAAGTTAATAAAAGTTGATCTGAGGCAAGGTGGACTCCTCATTCCTCTCCTACCTTCACCGAAACTTCCTTTAAGCCGTGTTTGTGGTCAAACTCACGTTCAGTGGGTGGAGCATCAGCAGCCTGAAGCAGCAGAGTTTGGGATTTTTCTCTCCTGTGGCCGATCAACACAATTTAAAAACTGGTATAAAGTCCACACTTTCCCCGTCAGTTGTTCCGTCTGTCCTGCTCACATCTCCAATGGTTGTACACGTTGTCATTAACGTGGCTTCACTCCACATCAGCCACGCTGCTTTGCTAGCTAAAACACCGGTGTCGGCACATAAGGACGCTGTCATAGCCTGTCAACGACATTGATTAGCTGTGTATATACAAATGTGAATCGCATCATTGGCTGGACTATGGGATTAGGTGGCATCGTTCTAATCCCATACGGGAGCAGACAGTCACATACTGACTAACACTGCAAAACAGAACTGTTAAACTTTTAATTTTAATTTCAATTCAGGTTAGATTTTTTTTGTGTGTGTGCGCAACGCAGATTTTGTGTGCGCAGAGACCGTGCCAGCAGTGCGCAATTGGGCACGCGCGCAGCTTAGAGGGAACATTGCTTAAAAGTAAGTTTAATCACATCAGCTGTTATAGGCGCTGTGAACGCATCTTGTCTCCAGGCCTTTCTGTGTGAAGTTTGCATGTTCTCCCCGTGCCTGTGTGGGTTTCCTCTGGGCAACATGTAAAACAACTACCGGTATGTAGAATTATGCAACCAAAAGCAAAAATGTTCTGAATCACATTTAGTGTTATATTTAAGACTATCCTAATAGATGTTTGGGATTCAGGTATTTGTATTAAGTTTGATTTTGCATGACCATTTGTAAGTAATGGCTGGTGCTGCTCTCTCAAAGTGTGGGGTAGGAAACAGTTAAAACAGTTTAACACACTCCAGTATCTGTATTTACATTTAGGCTATAAAGTCATTTATACCTGAATTGATGCATCAAACAGGTACATTAAAAAAATCACCATAAGCAGAAGTGCGTCTTCTTATCTATTAAACTTCTTGTGCAGCAGCTGTGGCATTTTGTTTTTTGTGTCCAGTTTGTTTCAAAAGAAGAAGTTATAGAGAGATTTTACTACAGAGCCACAATAGGAGGAAACATAGTTGGAAGTAGATTTTAACTGTTGTCAGTCCACAGTCACCATATCGCAATCCAATAGAGCACTTTTCAATGTGGGAGAACAAATGAGAGAGCAAAGAGTTTTGCTTTGAGCCAGATACAGCAAAACTGATTGGAGACTCTTCACAGTACAAAGGTTCAAAACATACTGTGAAAGCTGCACAACAGATTCTGAAGGCAAGAAGTGTTTTGTTTGTTACCTGATATTTTGTAATGTGAATGCTATATTTATTCCTTTTTATGGCCATGGCAGATACAATGTTATGTCTGTTCACAAAAGTAAACATAAAGGCAAATGTGCAGTCAAGGAATCTTTAAATTGAACTCAATCACCTGACGGTACAGCGAAGAAACAGAAGGAAATAGGAACGCTTGCTTGACTCCATGTTTTGTTGTCAGAAGTGGCAACAATTGTAGAGTGTTGGACTCAAAGCTGCTGATATCATCTCAAACAGGAACATAACTAAATGAGCTGAAGTGAAGCCTGCTCAGATTCAGAGAGGGAGCAGAGAGAAAAACACATCCACACAGCACAGATGCTCAGACGCTTCACTACAGTGTCAGGGATGATGAAGATGAAACTGCTTCTTGTTGCCATTCTGATGATTATTCTACCAGCGATGGAGGTCATTGGTGTTGGACCAGCCCCACCTGGACAACCAGATGCATGGCTAACAACAACAGG